CCAAAAAGGATTTGAAGGACATCCAACAGATGAACAGGTTTCAGCAGGTTTCGATGCCCCTCGGCGTCAAATGGAGCCGCATAGTCGCGCGCGGTGAGGAGAAGGAAGCGGGCAGCAAGTTCACCCATAAGACCCTTTTCGACCAGACCAGCAAGGCACAAATCTTGGCTCAACGTATCCAGAGCCAAAGGTAACTGCCCAGGATGATCGTACAAGAGTAGTGCAGCACCCAAGGCCAGAACCGGTTCCGAGGGTGAATGAGTGTAGTATAACGCGTTGTCAACCGAGAGGCCCGTGAGGAGCCTCATGTGATGCGAGACGCTCCGATTGGCTAACATGACGGCCTCACGATTCGCTATAACAGGATCAAGGCAAAGCCGCTGTGAAAGCACAGCGAAAACATGGCGCTTATCGTGGGGATGGAATCCTCCCTTATCACCGGCAGTGAGCTTGAAAGCCGCAATATTCACCAGTTCATTGCCTTTCTTGGGTAACATGGCGCGCCACCTAGCAGAAGTGAGTGGGTAATTGCCCTCGTGATCTGGAGGAAAGGACACACAATGGCCGCCCATATTGGCTGATATGCTCCATTGTTTCGAAATAACCGATCTTAGCAGGTGTCAGGGATTTGGCATGCTCGCTGGCATACTGATCAAAACCAAGAGCAAAGTAGGGGGGGTCTAGGCGAAGTTGTTCCTCTCTGAGTCTTGCGGAAACCACTGTGCGAAACAATAAGGTCTAGCTAGGTAACTACATAAACACTCACTGTCTTGAGAACGAGGTGCAAAATACGCTACGCTTGCCTTCGTCCCCATAAAAACATACCACATTCTTACGGACTCGTCTTGGTTTTGCAATAAACGTAACATAATCCAGAAGCACATTCCCAACTCGTGAGCTTCATCAAAGTATGTGACACACAGTGGGCCCTGGGGGAGGCCGTCGTAGGGTAGATCATCGGAAGGTGGTTCGCTGGGAAGGTTCTTGATGAACGCCATAAGGTTCTCAACCGCTTCCTTTGCACGCTCATAATAGGTCGGGGCGAGCCCGACGGCCTTTTCTGTTCCTTCCTTTGTTACCCCATCGAGCTTGGGACTTTTCCCTGGTTTTGCATCATCACTTGAATGTAGCTAAGCCATCTATCAGCTTCAGCAGAGAGGACAAGAACGGAAATTTACCTGGACGCGTTCCATCACCCTTTTGTAGAACTCCACCCGAAAATCTCGTTGGCCTTCCTCCTCCATTTTCTGATGCCAACGACCAAGAACCTCTGCCCTTGTGTAATTCTCTTGTCCAAGCTCAACAACAATATCTTCGAGAGACCCTACCATAGTCTCATGCGCAGCTGCAAGGAAATCAGCGATACCCGAAAGTGTACTGATGTTAATGCTATTGTTGCCGCACTTGGTCTTGAGCTCCCCAAAATAGGTGGACACGGGCTCGTCCGATAACGGGTAACCAGGATTATCCGGTCTACGAAGACATATAGGGAGGGTAAAGATTCGTCTACCAACCTAGAGCAAATAAGGTCATTCCTTTTTCAGGATCAGAGGACAAACACACCTCCGTCAGCATACGCGATTTCCCAACCCCAGAGCTTTGGACTACTGAGATGGCTTTGGCATAACGTGGTCGGTTGCGGTTTCCCGGATCCCGGTCGAGTTGGTCAAGGTGCCTAATGAAAGTGAGAGGCGCACCACCAACAAAAGGGGCACGGTATGCGGCAGCAAGCTCTGGCGGCTAATCAGAACCCTAGAAAAAATACAAACTTTAGACTCACTTTGTTCATTGAGAAGCCTGTAAACAGAGCTACGTGAGTAAGAAGTAAGGTCGATGTTGAACAAGCATACTTAGCGATCAATCGAAGATTTGGGGAATTGGTATCCCTAGTGCGTCGCAGTCTCGCTTCCACTGTACCATCAATTAATGACAATCAGTGCCTCGAATGCTGGTTGGCACATACCATACTCAATCAAGGGCCTCCACTGATTCTGTTTGAGAGCATCAGTGATCAATCCCCGACATTCAACATTGTTAAAGTTTTCCATGGTCGACGAGGTCTGTTCGTCGTTTGGAACAACATCGAAAAACGCCTTCTCCAGGCCGATAGTAAGAGCACCCAGAATGCTTTCAAGGAGAACATTCCACCTTGCTGGATCCGCCTCGGCGATCTCTAGGAGAATAAACCATGCTGGACTGAATGGCTCACTGGCCTGACGGATCGCATCTAAATCTTTGTCACTTATTCTTGCAGGAGAGAAATATTTCACATCTTCCATCTTGTCAGCCATCGTTGAACCTGTGTGACAGATCAAGTCGGAAAATTCCGCAGCTAAGCCAACCTTGTGTCACGGACCTAACGGCGTTAAGGTTTGAATAAGCCGTAGTGACCCCGAACAGACATATTTCCATTTCCCAGACTTCTCTGGTGCTTGGATACACTGATATGGCTTCCTCCTGCGTGGAGGAAGTTCAAGCCGTAATATTTCTTGCCGCTTGGCGGGTCTTGAATGCGGCCCCCACCATCGCGTGACGTTATCAGTAACGCGACCAATTCGTTCTTGTTCCATTTCCCCTCAAGAATTCGCTGTCTTGGTTGTGTATCACCACTAATCAATCAGCTGAGGCGCATAGTTTAACAGTTTCATTAAAAGGTAAACCCTTCGTATTTCCGTATCCCGAGTAATTTTGATGACGAACTTTGCTCACTGCTTATCATGGACGCTCTGCATTGAACTCAAACCTCAAGCTCATTTGCACACCCACCCAACTTGGCATACACTGGACATATTTTCTACATTCCCCTTCATCCTTTAGCGTCCCACTGCTTTCACATGTCCTCACCACCACTTGAGCGCCGCTCCCGAAATGCACCCATCCTCAATCCATTCGATCAATTAGATGCTGCGTCTTTTGACAGTTTTGTGACTGATGTGGCAGCCGCAATTCGGAATGCATTGAACCCTAGTCTTCCTCCGGCCCCTATCGCCAAATCTTCCCATGTACAAGCTATCGCTCCCAGTCTCGATGTCGCTGGTAGTGGTGAGAGTGTCAACGGTAGACACTTGGTTATGCTTGATCCTTCCTCGAATGTGACGCCTTCACCAGCTCCATCTTCTGTCGTAGATACAGAAGCGACGGAGGAAGACACTTTCATCCGTCAAAAGTTTCAATTTAAACATACGACTTACAATCTACCTCTTTCGTCGACCCGAAGCCAAGAGTTCTCCAACACCGGACTCCAACTTAAGGATCTCAACCAAACCAATGATGCGAGTTCTAACTATAGTCGTGCTTCTAAAACCGAAACTCCAAAACAGAGGTCAAGGTCGCCTTCTGTGATTGACCTCGTTTCTGACTCCGATGATGAGGCCGAATCTGCGAAACCTACACCTACATCTGAAACTGTTCCTGTGCGCCAGTCCCCGTATCAACGTGCAACCCCAGAAGGCTACGTTGGAGATGCGGCTGCCGAGACGGAAGCTAATGTAAGCTCCGAAGGGGAGTCGATGAAGAGCGGGAGCGGGAAGGACGCCGTTTATAGGCGACCTGAGGTTCGTCACGTTGGCTGGACGAGTGATGTCGAATTGGACGAGGTTAATGACAGCAGCGAAGGCAACAGCCGCAATGCGTTTGGTGAAGAGGACGAGGACGAAGAGGACATCTATGACACCTTTACCCGCCAGCTGTCTCGTCGGAATGTTCGTGCTGATATTAAGGAACACGGATATGCGAGGGATGAGGACGAGGAGGGAGTAGAGAAAGAAGAGGAAGAGGGCCTCCGTACTCGCCACTTCTTTGCAAATGATGACGAGGAGGGGGAGGAGGGCGAAGGTAGAGATGAAGATATTGAGTATCTTCCTGACTTCCGCGATTCAGCTTATGAGGAGCTGGAACAGGATGGGCACTACAACGGCTACGATGACGAGAACATGTCTCGATCTTCTTTACCACCCGTACAAAATTCCAAAGGTAAAGGACGAGCCCTCGATGAAGGCCCTGGTGTGGAAGCTCTTCATGGGATATCTCAAAGGATGGAAAAACATCCTGAACTTTACACACCGATGTACATTTTTAGCGCGGGGGCTGCTGTTCGGCGTCGGAGTACAAGCACCGAGGAGGATGACTCTGGAGCTTCGTATGGTACAAGTGATGAGGAGGTTGACGAGTTAGATGAAGAGGATGTCCAGAAGAGGGAATATTTCTATCGGGGACGAGGACGAGCTCGTTCTGATGAAGGAAGCGACATCTATTTATCTGGTGATGCTAGTTCTCCACCTTGGGAAGTGCTTGGTGGTGAACCTGGAGATGCTGAAGACCAGGATGAAGAGGAAGAGGAGGCGCAAGAGGATCAGGGGGTGGAAGAGGAAGAACAAGGGGAGGATCAGGCAGATCAGGAGGTCGAGGGCGAAGACGAGGATGGGGAAGAGGAAGGTGGGGAGGGATACGAAGGAGACGAAGACGAAGACGAAGACGACGGGTTGGAAGCAAGGACAGTGGAGTCGCCGATAGCTGAGGAAGCTGAAACCGTTCCAGGTCGCGGCGCCTCAGATCCTATCATAATCGATGACGACGAAGAGCCGATGATCGAGCGAGTACCAGCAGGCAGTCCTATGTATGTGGAGTTGCGTCATACTTCTCAGAATAGTGGAGAAGTCGAGGACTTGTCGCTCTTGCATACTATGGTTGCTGCACAAGAGGACCACCAACCTTTTTCTCCGGCCCAGTCGACTCCCCTTTTTGGGGATTTTACTGATTCCCAACCCATGTCTGAACACGAGGACCATCAATCGCAGGAACACAACAATGATCTCAGTGAGTGCGTCCTGTTGGTCTATGACCCTGCTGATGTGAAGTTTCGAAAGATGGTGAAGGCGGATTTGGACCTAGGACGTCGCAGATGGATGGAGACTGGCCAAACGATTTGCAAGGTTAGTGGATTTTCCCCCTCAGAATCATTATCTTACATCCCCTACTGCCTTTCCCACATCGGTTCATAGGAGCCATTGGGATCTTTCGTCATGAAACGGATTCTCAGCATGTATCACTTCCCGCAGATCTTATTGTGCCATCTTTCCATAGGGTAGCCGACGAGGGTATTCCCGATCCTCTTGCTAACGATGCGACGGAACATCCTGAGGTGCCTCCGAAGCCAGACTCAAACGCGCTGTCACCGGAGATGTCTATGTTTGTCGAAGCCTCTGGTGCCACGACTGATGATGCTATAATAGCAGCCACATCGCCGCGCCCTCAACTCGTGCCTCTAACAGGCGCAATCGCCGCCATAGCGAATGCATCTGGGGACCGTCCGGACTCTCCGGAGGGCACTGTCGCTGGGGCCTCGAAGTCTGCGCTCGTTTTTTCTCCCCTCGTTGACTTCCCAACCCCCCTCTTTGCTGGCGATGTATATGCTTCTGGGCCTGTGCTTCCCCCTGGCTTTATCGTAGAGGACTCGGAGCCACTCTCGACATATGATCTATTCCAACAGCATCTGTCATCCAGTAGTGAGCCTGATAATGAAGAAACTTGCATTCAAAAACAACTCTCAGGCGAAGGAATTCAGTTGGGGGATGTAGTAGACTCGAGTGTTGATGATCATCATGCGGTGGGAGAATCTTTGATTGGGGACATTTACCTCCCTCGATCCCAACTTTCGGATGGAGTCTCGTCTCCTGGAGCTGATGAGCTGAACGAGCAACGCGATTTCGTCCATGGTAGTGCTGTGGTACCCGCACCAGATCTCCATCAACTGGGGAATTTAGGAGGTGAGATCAAAAGAGCAGGCGAACCCCCTTCATTTCTCAACGCAGATCGGTTCCTCTCGCCCGCTGACGTGCTTGTTCCGCCCAACAACCCAGTGCCACTGACATCTCCCCATTTGTACCACGCGGATATCGGATCTGGAGATTCCAATGTTGTAGTTCAGATCAATCAGACACGTCAACCATCGGCAGCTCCCGCAGCAGATATGGAGACTCATGCTCAATTGGACACGGAAATACCTAATCCTAACGGGAACAAAGACGTATGCGCGTCTGACGGCCATCATGATTTAGCCGACACTCCTCCCGCACCACCCACGCTACCTGATCCCTTTATACCTCCAACGCAACTTAGTATACCCGACATCGAAGATACTCACCTTCTCAGGGTCCCAGAACATGATGCACCAGAGGGTTCTGTCGTTGATAGCGTCACTGCTGAGCCTCCGTCAACATGCGGGGAATCGCCAGATACGAAATTTTCGGAGGATATAGGGAGGCGACACGATAATCCACCTGACTCCCATGGTATGAAGACTGAACAACGAGATGGAACGCGTGCCACTAATGAGACCGATGCCACTGCTGTGCACGCTTCGGTTGGAACGTCGGGCGCCCAAGAAATAAAGGGGTCTGGGCATGCGGTACCTGTGCGTCTATCCTCTAAGGGGAATGTCCCAATTGCGGACAAAAATACTTTCGAGGTTGAGGCTGGACCCACGCAGGATGATCTCACTCCTGACGCTGCTGATGACAATATCAAATTATCACATGCTAACGAAGGGAAATTAACCCTTCTGGTGACCAATGGCGAGACACGAGAGGAGTTGGGGAAGCGTGACTTGAGGTGTTTCATGCAGCTAAAATTGGTTTTCTGAGACTGACAAACGTTTCTGCAGCGGTGAAACCTTGCGTACAAGTGAACTATCCAACAACCGCGCTCGCAGCGGCCTCAGATTAATTCCTGAAATTAGCATCCCCATCTTTTCGTCATCCCATCGACCGGACGATGCGGTTTCAGGCATTTCACCTCCACACACCCCTTCAGAAACAGGTTCCACGACACGTCCCGGCAAACGGAAGCGAAGTGCAGCTGCAACTCTGAATAGCCCCGCCTTGAACACACGTTCTAAGACGAAGGATGTTGCTGAAACCTCCAGTCAAGCATCGTTTTCATCACCCCCTGTATCTACTTCCAGCCAAGGGAGCGGAGGTTCGCGACATTACATTTTGGCTCGTCAACTTGGGCACCCGAGGCCCCAGGCATCCATCAGTTCAACTCACAGTTCTTATTCGAAACCACAGTTTCGACCTTACGTTTCCATACCCCCGAAATCATCCTTCCATCATCACAAGAACCCCGCATCCGAACGCGCATTGGAGAGGGGAACACCAGCTTCTCCAACAGCAGACTTACCCCTCACACGCTCTCAGTGTCGTTTCCACAAAGTTTCAGCCCCAGGAACAAGACCAGAATCTTGTGTTTATCTCGTCATTCCAGGGTGCTCTCTCGGCGCTACAACTGTAATGGAAGAAGAGAGTATTGTGGACTGTGGGATAGCGACGAACGAGGACAACGCGAGAAAGATCACTGACCTCTCGAAGATAGAGCCACACTTAATCAGCATCTTCCGGAAACTCGTAGGACCAGACGCGATGAATGAGGGAGTTTGTGGGTACCTTCCTGACCCAGCTGCATTGAAAGCCCCCCTATCGCTTGCTCTACCCACAGAAACAGTTCCGGATCGAGCATCCAATGTTCCACCTTCAATGGCCAAGAGAAAGAACAGATTCTCAGCCCCTGATGTTGAGAGTGGTGAGGAAGACGGCGACTCCACTCTTACTATATCTCCAACCAAACGTCCTGAACGCCGAACTCGTCGACGTAAACCTCGTCGATCCAACCCGCACAGCGACTTGGCTGATTACCAGCCGTCGAGCGACGAAAGTCCCAATGCCGGATACCCCCCGAAGAAGAGGGGTAAACGGGCTCGGTTGCATAATGCTCTATCGTCCCCCCACGCCAGAACAGACACCTCCGAGTCCTCCCCAGTTGATCTTGCTGGTACCGCTCTAGGTCAAGAAGAGACTCATTCAAAGGGGCCTGGATCCGACCCTGACACAAGTCGTGATGATTTCAACGAACCAAAGGTTTCCTCAGCCCCATCTCGTGCGGACACGCAGACATCACACACAATACGTCGCAAGCGCAAGCGCCAACCTCTTGATCCGGGATCTCTTGCTTATAGGCCTGGCGAGGACGAGGAGAGCGAGCCGGACAAGGAAGAGCTGATGCCTAAGAGCAAAAGACACCGCCAAAAACCTGCCTTGAGTAAAGCCCAGCCAACCTTTCAGAACGGAGATGCCGATGAGCCGAAGGACAGCCCTCGTGGTGAGGAACCAAGTGAAGAGACACCAAGGGAGGATACGAGACGGCCTCATGATCAACCTAATTCACCCTGGATCCCTTCAAGATCGGCAGAGTATGTGACCAAGCTAAATGCGCGTGTGATTAGTAACCCCGATTGATCCCCCACTGATCACGCCAGCCAAATTTGTCGGCAGCATATTGTAAATCTTGCCCTATTGTCTTTACAATCCAAGCACAAGGATTTCTGGAGTGATGGGATTTGCTTTCTTACACCGACTCTTTGCGATCGCAACAGAATCAAATCGAACCTGAGTACATGATTGTTGCTAAGCAGCCCTTGTCAAACCGAGGCAGCTATGGTACGGCAGTGATTTGAAACGGAAAATCCTGCCACAACCCCAAGTTCAACTGCCCGCGCCTGGCGAAATCCTGCGAGGGAGTTACCCCCTAATTAACGAGTGATTACCAGTCAGGCATACCCGAGATTCTTCTCGATTCACTCTTTCGAAGCCAAATTCGGATCATGCTAGCCTGAACTTCCCAACAATACGTTGTCAGTCGGGTTTTGGGAACCCTCGGTCTCATATCCGGATTCCAAATTTGAGCTCGCCACCAAGTTAAATGTCACTATAACGAATTGCGAATGGAATTTCCTGTTGCGATTCTCCACAAGAGTGCCGAACCCTTTTAATTGTGCTAATTCTATATCACATCTGAGGACTCATTGGGAACACACGACGCATTTCAAGCCCATACCCGTTGTAGGGGTCAGGAAAACGTATAGCCACGGCAAGTCTGCTGTCGGATTGTTGGATGATCGCAATTATAGTTTTTTTTTTGCCAGAAACGCCATGCTCTCGATCATACGAAGTGGAGATATGAAACTAATTGTATTCGGGCAGCATAGCTATAATCCCCCACTGGGGGCAAGATTGCAGTCGGTGTTCGCATCCTGATTGAGTCATAGAACGCGTAGATCATGACTAATCAACAACGGGGCATAGGAACCTAACTGCAAGATCGAGTCATTGTAATCGCCTGGGATAGCCATCATTGTATTGAACCTGGGGAAATGTACAGTGAATGAAGATTGTGGGAAGCCGATGTTGGGTGATTATAGAAGGATAGATAATGAGCCGTCGGGCAGGTCGTAGTGTTGAAGTTGAGATCAAGACAAATGTTATAATCGGATGAGATAACTACAATATTCAGCCAAGCTACTTCGGGTGACTCGAGACATTCAACTTGATCCTTCGCACCAGAAGACGTCTGACGCCTATTGCTGGGTCTTCCCTTTGATTAGTGTTGCCAAGCACGCGCAAAGTGCAAGGTCTTGCGAAGAAGTGTGGAGTTGGATCAAAAAGCCGAGCCCCTATCAAGGGTATTCTGTCATCGTCATCGACTCATCCACAGGCACAGTTTCGACATGCTGAGAGAATATTTCTCTAAACTCGTCAAACGTGTTCTGGTCCTTGATGGCGAATATCACTTGCTCGAATGACTTTTGGAATCTGGCTCCTTCGCCAACTAGTAGATCTGCCCATATGCTTGCTACCATCTGAACCGAATTTGTGAACACCCCGGTCCCGAAGCTCCCGAGAACAAGATGACGGTCCCCACATTCTTCGAAGAGACGTAATATACGAGCCATCCGTTCTCGCATGGTTTTCTCTATCTCCGCGTCAACTTCCGGCGCGTCCCGAAAATGGCGAAGAACCTGAGCACGATTCACGGCAGCGGACGTTATCACCGATGCCTTGCTGGGTGGAACGTAACGCCCTGTATCATCCCGGAGGAATATTACGACGGGTGCATATATCATTGCGTGTGTATTGAATCCGTCGGTTTCCTCATTCAGATGATGAACGTAGAATTCGGTTCCTTCGTTTGACGTGAGCATGCAATGCAGATTTGAGGAGCGAGTGAGGGATTCTTCTTGTGCTTCAGCACCCGAAACGAACCCACCTCCGGGCTGTAACGGATTCCCAAAATTGAGCACGCCAACATTGGGACGATTGAGATAATGGATGGCTTTGAGTGTAGAGCTGAGCACAATGGATACTGTAGCGGGTACGGGAGGATCGGAGGGGTACCGAATGGGACGTGTTGGATCCAGCCACCGACGAATGTCCTTGTCATCGGGAGAGACGTATATCGTGTTCGCTTGGCCGTACTGTTGTGTCTCAACGAAACCATACCTGGTACCGTCAGCAGTGTAGTAATATCCATTCGAAATATCTCGCAGGGTCTCTTCTGCGATTTGTCGCCGACGCTCACGCGCCTCCTCTTCATCTCGCGTGCGTTGGCGACGAGGATGGGGTATATGGAGTGGTTCTCTGTACCGTGGAAGATGGTCGTAGTTGCTCATTACAAAATTACGCGTTCTGTTTGCGGTTGGCCGAGGTGAGCGAGGATAATTGGGTGAAGCACGACGGGGGAAGATTAACTTACTGAACGAGCGGTGTACAAAAGATATCGATTCAGATCGGCGACAGAGGGGCGAATGAGCGTGTTTTGTAGAGTCAGGCTTGTACAATAGTGGCCCTTAATATGGGCGATTTGCAAAATCCAAGTGTTTGTTGACAAGGCACGGGTCGCAGGTCGCCGATGGCAAGTGAATGAAGCTTCCGTGTTTTCCAGCGACACCCATTCTAGGAAACCAGATGACAGCATGGCTTCCACCCTCTGGTTTCTGCGGGTGGGATACAGGCCATTCATCGCGAGCAACCGTTTTCAGGGACCTCTAAGTCCACTACTGTGGAGATACGGCCAACCAATCACCATCACGACATGCATGAACCACTCTATGCGCGCGCCAAAAATTTCGGTCTTGAAATCCTCCAAAAAAACAGCAATTTCAAGCAGCGATGGCGGATATGTTATCTATGAGAAGGATCCTCGGTGGTATATGAAAGTGATATGGCTTGGTGTCTTGATGAACGTTGGCATCGTGTGAGCGGCGCTTAAAAACCTTCCTACTCATTGACCCAGTCTATGCTCACAAACCTTTAGTTTGAATTTTGATGAGATGGTGTTGAGGCACTGGACAGAGGAGGCTCCAAGGTAGGGCCGAGACATACGTGTCCATAATGGTTTTTCTGGACCAAACGTGCTACAGCCAAGCTACGGGGCACAACGACAACGAACCAACACATAAATTACGACCCTTATGGCAGCGGATTGGCGCAGCTATCTTGGCAACAAGCTTTGGCGCCATGGTAATTGGTGGATTGTTGGTCGTAAAATATAGAACCGTCCGCCGTCTCACGCTTCATCCTGACAAAAGACGTATCCTCGTTCAATCCGCTAGCCGCTTCAAAAACAGTGGGAAGTTTGTAAACAAAGAAGATTGCTCACTAGAACCTGGGAGAGGTGCGTACTACGATATACGCGCAACCGATGTATTCCTCACTTTACCGTCCAGGGGCTTCGGAGCTATTTCTCAGAGTGAGAGGCATGCGAGGCGTTCATTTCATTGACTTGGATGGCGCCAAAATCAACGACGTCCAGGAAAGTGCATGGAATAACCGAAGAAAGCTATTGGATTTATGGCATACCCTTCGTTTCACTGAAGATCGTCGAAAAGGTTATGCGTTTCATCGACCATAATAATATTTATAAATGTAATTTATCCCGCCAAGACCTATACGGTTGAGCAGCCCATATGGTCTATCGAAACCTCCTAAGGCGACCAAGGGTGATGCCACCAGTGCATTCCGCGAGTTTGATGACTTCGCCGAGCCCGTAATCTATCCGTGCTGCTATCTGCGAAGCTTTCTGAGATGGCAGCTTGGCACCCTTTTGGGTCACAGTAATCACTCGCTCAGGGGGCTTCTTAGAGTCCCACTTCGGTAAATTTCGAGGATACAAACTACGTAAATGGCCTTGGACTATCCATGAAATATTGCGAATGGCTTTGTGAGCTAGGCACTTTGACACCGCCGAAGAGTACAACAGCTCTAAGGTTTCGTCGGCTGACAGAAACAAAAAGAAATTGAAGCCCTTGTAAAGACGTGCCAAGCAGTCGACATACTCGTGTGTGTCCAATGATCTTTCCACTCTCGCGATGGCGAGTGAGCCAGTTTCATAACTACATCTTCAAAAATCGGTCTGTACAAAAACCTCAGGTTCCGCGTGGCGGTAGGCTGATGAAGAACGCTTGCTGATATCGCTCGCAAGGTAAGTCGGTATAATGAGCGCAGACGAGTGGGATCTAGCTGGCTCATGAAGATCGAAGCTTAAGCAGAAATGCACGTGCTTTACGAGTCACTCGACGTATGAATGACTCAGCTCCTATCGAAAACTCCGGACCTCCGCTCCGGAACTCCGATTCTACCTTAGCCTCCTCCGACCCCCTCTGTTGAATCTGAAACACTCCTCCTGTCCCAACTCCAACCTCAGTAACCACCCGACCTTGACTCCGGACTCCGCCACCCCTCCTTGGTGTCTGACCCCTTCCCTACCTTCCAGACTCCAGACCATCACCCCTGGACTCCACTCCAACTCTGACCATAACTCCGCTGAGCATGCGATGTTTCAGGGATGAATTCATGCCCTTGCGCATCACCCCTCCTGGAATAATAGCCGATGACGAGGAATAATGAGATTCCAAAAGAGCTTCTCTTTTCGTCTTCCTTAGTTTCCCCTGATTAATCCATCTGGAACGATGCAAACGACAAGCTAGAGGCTTTGATGTCCAAGATGGTTTCTCTAATGAACCAAAGCGGCGACGAGATGAACATAGTATTACTGCAGCAAAAGAAGTGTGAACATGCTTTGGTACTAAGAATGATTATTTGTTCAAAAGCTTATGGCTATGTACACATCCGGGTAAAGGTACATGGTCCGACAGCGGTTTAAGTAGTGTACAACCCTCCTTAGGATCCACTGCACATTATGCTGAGCAACAAAAGGTCCGCCCCCCGCTGGGTGCTTCCTGTAATTGTTCAGCTACGTGGTTTGGAAATCACTGCTGCCGGTCCTGACGGCTCTATTTTTACTGTACGTGTCATTATAACGGTAAACCACTAAACTCATCTCAGTCTTAGCTGGCGCCTCAGATGAAATCCTTCAAAAACCGAGGGTCGACCATCCATTCTTCACTCCCGCTGCCGATAACTCCTGAGGATGACAGGAAAGAAAGAGGGAATGTCGGAAATTGATTACGTGAATGTAGATAGGGTCACTCTGAACAACAAACAGCCGAAGGCCGATCAACTAGTTATATTATATAATTACACAGGAGGGCCGGGCAGGAAGGTTTATGTAAGCCCGCAACTTCATGTGTCACAGTACCTGTCATTCTAGTAGGCAGGTTACCAGCCTCTATTGGAATAGAGCCGAAAAGGCTGTCTACTCACCCTATCAATGCCCGGCTATTCTTCACCCTGTCTCGGTCGAACTTCACCTTGTGCAACCGACAGTTCTTGTGGCAGGTCAGCAATCATTGTTTCCGTTGTTGCTGCATGACTACGATCAAGGCGCAGCAAACTCCACCACACGCGATTCCATCTGCACCGGTCAGTAAGCTCCGCGCTGCAATGCTTCTCAGCTACCTCGGGAAAACAGACACATTATGAGACTGTGACCATTTATCCGAACGACACAGCAGGTCATGTCAGGTAGGAAACAACACTTTCCCGCACCCGACAATGCAGAAGCTTCCATTACAAACAACTGCATAACGTTAATTAGAGATGGCCAAGAGTGTCAGTTTTTGGCGCTCGTTGAACTATCACTGCAAGCCGGGCCATGGACTTCGGCGGTTAAGACCACGTTCGCCGCGGCCCGAGGGGCTGATCTCATGAGCAGACGGAGTTCTACAAAACCCTGAGGGAGGGTGCCCAATTCGGGACGGGTTCTTCTCTTGGCAGTCACCTGTTTCGTGCACTGTGCCCCCTTCACTAAACTCAACGGAATCACTTGGCATTGCTGCGGACTCCAGGCACACTTTTGATTTCCGTTCTCCATCCATGGGTAGTTATTCGGTGGTTTTTCGGCGTACCCTACATCCAGTCCACTACATGGCTGGCATCCCATGGGGCCTTGCTGCGGACGGCATTACGCTCAGCTGGCGCCTCAGCTAGTGCAGAATGGTTGACCCGGTCTCAGATATAAGTGCGTGTTCCTTGAGCCAGAATTCCAGCACAGTAGGCACAAATCGGACTGTTGATCGTTTAACATGAAGCTCCTCACCATCTTTGCCCTTGCAATCACCTCTGCACTTGCTCACGACACTAGAGCATTGTCCGCTGAGCAACTGAAACGTCGAAAGGTGTGTTTAATATGAGGATTTCTTCTCCATTCCCTAATGGTGTTCGCAGCTTGAAGTGGAAGCACGCAATCTCGCAGCCAGGAAATGCGCCCCTGCTGTGCGCGCATTTGAGAATCAGCGCCGCCACATTCGCCGTGACCTGAAGCATTTCTCTTTGGACCTCCGTGGAGGTCATTTTGGTGCTCAGCAGGAAAAAGAGATCAAGAATGTAGATCTTTTCCAGCGCATGTGAGAATAACGCACTGACAAAATCCATAGAAAACTTGCGTTATGACTCCTGAAGTAACAGAAGGCCCCTACTTTGTGAAGAATGTCTGTGTTTGTTCGCTACCTGCTGGTTTCCAGGCTAAAGCAATTCACGGATCGGTAGGAACTTGTTCGTCAAAACGTACGCGAGAATCAGCGAGGCGTTCCCCTTACGCTCGACATTGGAGTGATAGACATCACTTCCTGCAAGCCACTACCTAACGCTTTTGTAGAAATCTGGCATGCCAATGCTACAGGTGCGCCAAAATTGCTTTTCATCCGTCCTCCCCACCTGACCCTTGTGACCAGGCTTCTATTCTGGCTTTACTGCGGAGTCGACGGGTGGCAGCGGAAATACTGGGGCGCCTCCAAGCAACAGCACTGGTTCTGGTGGTGGAAACTCTACTAATACAGCCATGAGCGATGAGCTTAGCTTCCTAAGGGGCGGCTGGCCTACTAACAAGAATGGCGTTGTGGAGATGTCTACCGTATATCCTGGCTTCTACACGGGTCGAACTACCCATATTCACGTGAGTGGCACTGGTTGATACACCGGATTATGAATTCACTGCTGACATTTTGCATTCCAGACTGCAGTCCAGACAAATTGGACCAAGGCGGCAAACGGGTATGCTTCCCGCAATCGTGCCGGGGGACCCTTCTTGATCCCTAAATTTTAGAACGATCGAGTCAACGGAAGGAAACCTTCTTCACATCGGCCAGGTCTTCTTCGATGAATCCCTCAACGACAAAGTCTTTGCCTCTATTCCCTATGTCAATACCACTCAGTCTCACACCACCTATAACGCGGACGACTCTATCCTTGCAGAGGAGAACACGGGCGGATACAATGCGTTCGCTGACGCATACCAAGTGGGCAAGAACCTCCAAGACGGAGTTATCGCATATATCAGTGGGTCATTGCGTTGATAGTATTGAGCATTCACTCATCCACTTCGCAGCTATCGGCGTCGATTCAACCGCAAGATATTCTTTCTCCACCACTAACTACTGGACGCCCTGAGGGCAGGGTAGCGATTTTGTAGAAAGGTCGCACATAATTGACTCAGCATGAACCTCCAAGGGCGTGATGCTAGTAGCCCTGATCTGCATACGCGAGTTTCGTTTCGTTGGCTTCAATTATATATAAAGACTTTCATCCTACGCTGAAGCAGCTGGGCCTATAGATAGATAGTTGGGCCATTTGTTTTGGTCGCCTTGATAACATCTGAATCATAATCCTTTGCGACTGCATGCGCAACGCACTCAGCGATATGGATGTGTTTGGAGGATCCTGCCAATGTCATTCCGGTGTTCTGTCCGTTCATATCCTATTGAACAATGCGGGGATGCGGTAGTGCTCCACAACAAGCATGAGGTGGTGTAGCAACTTTTGAGCATTGCATCATTAATCCGGTATTTGCATACTGTCAGACTCCCCAGCTAACCATTCATCCGTTCAAGTCCCCCACCCTAATAAAAATTCATGTCTCAGGGATGCGCCATCCGACGTCCTGACTTCCGGGCCCTAGGCAGCCATGCATGTGCCTACCTTGGAACGACGTCCTGACAACCCCCCCAAGGTTGACCGCCTCCACTTTCGCCTTTTCCTGATTCCTCAGTTAGGCAGGTGACCTCTGGACTCTTGGTAGAAAGAGTCGGTACAAATAATGGTAAAGACATACTTACTTCGAGGTCGCTCCTCCGACATATCAAAGATTGGTTGCCGTGTTGCTTGATTTCACAGACGACTGTTGCTGCATGCCTGTGCACGTTGAGATTACTGTAAGTGGTTGAGGTGTCACAACTCAGATGGTAAACCGGCAAGTGCCGGGAGAACGCAGAGCAAACCAGTGATGAGTTGCTTTGAGTGAATGTTTAACTTCAACAACACCCCGGTTCCATTTAGCCCTCATTGAGAGGTAGTAGTAAGGCCTCTTGCACGTCAGTACAGTGGACATAAGGCCATCTTTAAGAGAGCTTTAGGGACTCACTCGGCTGGGCAGGCTGCATGCACTGGAAAGGCGTCAACAGTGTCTCTAGCGCCTCTGACTTGTCCGACTGCACCTCCGTCGTGATTGAAGCTTTCACTGTACCATCGGGGAGTAAGTGGACTCACGCGGCCTATGGATATAATCTCATGGTCCCCGCAAGAAACTATAACTATTAGGGTAGACACTCTCAACCTTCCTGGCCTCTCACTTGGTGCTGAATCAGCTTTCCAGCGCCGGGCGCGGTCATCTCACAGAATGGTGATATCACATTCGCTGAGACGACAGGTTAGTCGCGGTATTTACAATCCAAATTACCTTGAGGCAGTGGAAACTGTTGGGATCAACGTGTATTTACGGGGCCTTGACGCGACCACCAACAAAGGGTTGCTGTTATATGTATTCTATTTTGTCGCCCCGCGGCCGCGTTTGTAGTGGCGGTGCGGCTTTCCCGACGGATTACATCATGAGGGGGTTCATCAGCACTGTCTCGTTGGTAGGATTGGGGGTAATGTTTATACCAACAATTTTGGTCTACTCTTATCTGGTTCGACTCCGGCTCAATGCTGGCACAGCTCTACGATGTTCTGTAGGAACCACGTTGAGCATAGGAGCTTTTGTACTGTGATATCTTGTACAGTAATCCATGGGGGAATTTAAACCCCAATCGAATCCAACCATCGCTGTATCTCGACAAAAGCGCCTTGTCCGTCTACGTTGTTTACTGAAACGAAGTCCACCGCGGGTGCCTCATTCCGAAGTAGCCTGTTTTCCTTTCTTTGGACCTCCTCTCTTTCAGGACTATCGAGGATTAAGATCGGAAATCTTGGCTCATAATTGAATTCTTGTAGGTTCGGTAGCAAAGCCTTGGCTTCTGCACATGAGGTGGAAGGTATAGGTGCAATCAGAACTAAGGCTGAGGCGGGATGGGAGGAGATATATGTCTGAGCGATAAGAGCTCCGGCGGAGCGAGCGAATCTATGATCCCCGTAAGAATGGGGCGGGACGTGAACCAGATGAACACAAACATTACTGGACGGAATGGGATGGCGGCGAATCGAATCTGGCTCGAAAGCTCTACGAAAGTAGTTGGAGATTGGGGTTGACAGTCTGACAGATTCCTTTGGCGCTATGACCACTCACCTGACTCAAAGTAGGTCAGCAAACTCCGGGGCTGGGATGCCAGTGGCGAAGGCGTGTCAATGTCTATTTCCATGGTGTTATAACCAATCGAGGGGAACTGAGCTGCGAGTGTCTGCATTCTGAGACCAACTCCGTGTCTCTCATGGGCCATGCATGTCAAACTGGCACTCACCCTTCGGCAGACTCCCTCTGCCATATCTTTGAGCTTAAAGTAGAACAGTGAGGCACTACAGCGACAGGTACGATAAAGGGGGATCGACTGTCACCTCAGAAAGACGAGAGGTGTCGCAAACTCCAGAGCTGAAGGTTGAGGGTGACGCAGAACCACTGTTGAATACAACTGCCAATCCTCCTTGGGAACCTTAACCGGGGCATTACAAGGGGAGGAAGCCCGCCGGGGTACCCTTCGTAAAAGTCTTCCGAGCTGCATAGAAGCAAACGCTTCAATTGATTTCCGTGACCGCGAGAGGGAAGCAAATATCAAGATCACCAAATAAGGACTAGTTTATAAACAGATAAATAATCATCATAATTTATCTAACTTTTCCCCGTCCTCCCCATTTTCCTCTTTCAATCTCCTTTTTTCCATCATGTCCAAATGCTTGATCTCTGAAAGCTCCCGCGTTGCTTGTGCGAGCAAAAACTCCGCGCTTTTTGCTCGATGCGAAAGATTGTCCTGAGGCAAGTAGCCTGCCATGTCTCCAACAAAATCGTTGATTCCCAGCGACATGGGCCCTAGCCCATCCGGAACCTTCTTCAACAGAGCGTAAATGTCAAGGCACTCTCCAGGAGGAATCGGGTTAGGGTTGGATGGTGTGATGCAAGTCATATCAACTTCTTTCCGAAGGATGTGATCAACGTCAACGGCGGAAAAGAATGCCACTCCTTGGGGCAAATTGTCGAAACCGAGGCGGTAGGCGAATTGACTCCGAGTCCACAGATTTGCAATCTGTAATGCAAGAGCGGCGCGGTATTTATCTTCTTCACGAACTAGGTAACGGAGCTCGTCATGGACAGAGATCATGTAACGCGCTCTGATGTTATATCTCGTACAGAGGTACTCCATGGACACTATGAGCAAATGAAGGTAGTCCACACCAGATGATTGTACCACCCAGTTGATTCTTGATGTCATGAAATCGGTACCAAATCCTACGGGAAGGTTTTCTTTCAAAAGGGCCTCAGTTACTCTGCATCCCAGCGCAGGAGTCACCGGTCTATCTGAAAGTGCGACTTCCTCGAGTTTATTGAACACGAAGCTCTCAGTGCCTCCATACCAAAACTTCCGGTTGAACAGGCTTGTTCCGTGAGTAGAACGACCTTTTGTAGACGCGTACAAACCCTTGGCGAGTTGGCGTGCTTTATCTGGATGCATGTTAGGGTTCGCCTGGATCAAGAGTAATTCGGCATGTCGTATCCCCGCCCCATATATTCTGGAATAATTGAAAACTTTGGCTTGGTCGCGGGATGTACCCAGGATTTTTGCCGTCTTCGAATGTAAGTCAGTCCCATTGGATTTCGTGCCTTCCAGCGTCATCCAACCTAATGCACTGGCACCGTGAAGGCCAAATTGTGCATCCCCCAGAAGACTTGATATCCACAACTCCTCTGAGTCGACGTCAGCTCCAACAATGGCATACCCAGGAGGCGCTCTGACCATGGCCTTCAATTCTGAACCTACGCGGTTCTTTTTGGCGTTGGAGGCTGTTAGCCAAGTACGTTCAATGGCTCGACGAGTAACAGTACCCATCGTAATTACTTGAGGAAGGATGAAACCCCAACCATCTTCCCTTGGTGCATCAATGCCGATGCTGACGCCGCCATCACCGTCACGAACAACCATCTGACTTATGATTCGATCACGGGCACTAATCCAGTAGCTGCAGTCGGCGTTAAGTTGCAAAGCCTTCTTTGCAGTCTCGCTCGGACTTGATAACGTGCCTTTGTTCAGATAAGGGACGAAGGTTTTGGTCAAAGGGTTCCCCACGTTAGCCTTCTCGCCATCCTTATGAGGGAGCTTGTAGAAAGAGTACCCCCCGTCTGTATCCGCTAGCAGAGCCTGATCTTCGGGGCTAGAGAAGCTCAAAGGAGACGCACGCGTTTGAAATGTATTTGTGCCATTGCTATCGACTCGAAAAGTCCAGCCATGCTCCTTCGAGATGAAGAGCGGCCAGCCCATCCAGCTTAGCCTGAGTAGAAGGGCAGCTGTCGTCTTTCGTGGGGTGAGGTCCAAAACGCCGTTCTCTTTTCCCGGTTTGGGTGAGGCTAAGTCGATGTACCATGATGGCCATCTGAGCTCTTTCCCATCTGCATCTTTCACATAGCGGCCTGCCGAACGTTGTTTCGCTGCCCTGATGCCCTCTGGAGGCTCCTTGAGATACACAGGGTCCCAGTCAAGCTGGCGATATCTGGGATGCATTCGGCTCATTTCTACTTTCTCGTTATTGAGTGTGAGCTCCTTCCCAGCTCGATGGCTCAGAAGCCGTTGGGCTATCCTGATGATATCTCCGCGAAGTTTCTCATCCACTTCACCCTTGCAGATTCTTGTCAGCGCTTTGCGAGTCATCCTGGGGTTTGAACATGACAAGTGGATCAAGAGCTCCTCGTTAAAGATATTGCGCTTCGCCGAGGGAACTTTTGCCCAGCGGAAGACTGATGGATCAAAGACAGCCACACCGTCATCGTGCGCGTTTCGTAAGTCGAGTAACACTTCCACTAGTTCAGAATGTTGCACATTCCCGTCTGCCTTAGGAAGCTGGCAGACCCAACCATTTTGCGGTGAGTGATAAAGAGGACAGTTCTTGAACTCTAGTGCAAGAATATATGCTATGGCTTCGTTGTTTCTCTCCAAGAAACTGGGCATCGGAGTGGAAATCATCTGGAAGTACCAAAGTGGAACCGCGAATTGCCCATCATGGCGCCAGCCATATATGTAGGAATCTGAGTCGCGTCGTGCCATCTGAGCCGGCTCCTGCATGGACTTGAACATTTCTGCTGATACGCGGCTCCATGTGACGGGTTTCATTGTCCAATCCAACTGCCTCAACCAGGGGTCATTCACCCATTCTCCAGTTTTGTGGAACTCTCGTGCCTCACGAGCGAGGTCACATAAAGCTTCGAAGACAGCAGCCTGGCTGTTGCGGTACGTCCCCTCTGCACTCCTAATATATTCGTCCCACGCCTTGTTGACGGGAAGTATACTGCTTCCCATCACAGTTATACCGGCGAACGTGACGGGGTGAGGGCACGAACTAAGGAAAATAGGATAAACTTTCTGATACACAGCGTGTGTGGTGCTTACGTCGAAAGCACAATAATTGAGATATGAATCGAGGTCGCTTCTGATCATTTCGGGAGAGGACTTCATGAAATCGTTGCGGATATCTTTTTCCATTTCAACACCGCAATACAATCTTGCCACCTCCGCGAGGGAGTTGACGGATGTGAGATCTTCCCATCGGGGACCATCCGCCACATCTGAGGCTCCTTGAGATCCTTCGTCTATATCGGAGAGACTCTCGAGAAGAGCATCCCTTTCCTTAAAGAGTTTCTCTCTTGCGTCCTTATCCTTGGTATTCTTCAGCCGCGATTCGTACTTGCTGATGATTCTCTGAAGGGCATCCAGGGTCTCAGTCTTCATTTTGCTGTCTTCCTCCTTGTCTCTCCGCCTCGACATCCACGAAGGGCGTTGGTGAGACGTAATGCCCTTGGCGGCCACATGTAATGACATTGTATCTAAAAACCGTGTCCTGTTGCGTTCGAGATGGTATTCGTCCGCAATACGCGCTCGATCATAGGCAACGTTGTGACCGACTACGATTCGATGCTGCTTTGGATTTCCAAGTGGCACGAGATGTGCGGGACTTCCATCCTGACCTAAGAGCCAAGGAGAAAGCCAAGAATACCAGGCTGTCGGACTAGCTGCGCAAGCCATCACAGGGAAATGGTGGTGACGCGGCATGGTTTCCACGTCAAAACATAACATCGATTCATCCGACAAGTCCTGGAGATGCTCGTAGGACCCATCGTTGTTGTATCTTGTCCAACCTGGTTCATGAACCCAGTTCTCCGGAGGAGAAGGGATGGAAAGCGATGCGAACTCCTTAGCGAGAGATACGGCGGGTTCAGATACAAACTTTCCCAACCGGTGGAAATGGTGGTCGATGTGTTCGCCTTGCAGTGGAGGCAACTCTATCGATGCGTCTCTAGATGTGGACCCTTGCGAAGTGTCCAAACCATGCATAGCCAGGTGGTCGCGAGAAATTTGGACGTAGGCGGGGTCTGGGGGCGGAAAAGAGACGTTTTGAAAGATTTGGGAATGCAACCCATTAGAAAGAAGCTGCACCCCAACTTCGTTGCGGGGAACTAAGTAAACAGCTGTGTCAGAATGGGCCATGTGAAGAAGAAAATGAGCGACCTAAACCAGACGCTTGAAATAGAAGAATTCAGAAACTGTGGAGCGGATGAAAGTATTATGCCCACTTGCAGCATTTGTCGTTTTGGCAACACATGAGTCAGCGAGTTGCAGTTTAGAAGTCCTATCAGCAA